GTACTTACACTTGCATGGCTTAATCTTTGAGACAAGCATATGCTACTGGCAGGATCAACCAGGTAGCCTCCCTTTACCGCGGAGAACCGGGAGCCCGGGGGCCCAGCAGGACCCCTTGGCTGCAAACTCTAGGCGCTTGCTGGGGGGCTGGGTGGAGGCCGGAGCCACTCGGCCGGAAGACGGAGACCCGGGAACGGGGCCCGCCGCCCGCCTGCTTTCGCTGCTCCTCCTCGCGTCTAGGTTTGTTTTCGGAGGGCATGAGAAATGCTGCTGCTCTCTGGAGGGCGCTGCCGGGGACGGTCTGCCGCTGCTACTCGAAACGGAGGAGCTCCAGTCGAGGACCGCTGGGTCTGACGGGGCGTCTTGGTCTCGCTTCCCAAAGGGACCCCTGGTACAGCGGTGGGACTTAGAAAAATGTCAGGGACCCCTGGTACAGCGGTGGGACTTAGAAAAATGTCAGGGACCCCTGGTACAGTGGTGGCACTTAGAAAAATGTCAGGGACCCCTGGTACAGCGGTGGGACTTAGAAAAATTTCCGAACCGGAGCCGCGAACTCTAGGCGTTTGCTGGGGGGCTGGGTGGGAGGCCGGATCTGCTCGGCCGGAAGACGGAGACCCGGGAATGGGGCCGCCGCCTGCCTGCTTTCGCTGCTCCTCCTCCCGTCTAGGTTCGGCTTGGGAGGGCGTGAGAAACAGTGTTGCTCTCTAGAGGTCACCGCCGGGGACGGCCTGCCCCTGTGACTCGGAGCGTAGGACCGCTGGCGGAGCTCCAGTCGAGGACCGCTTGGTCTGACGGGGCGTCTCGGTCTCCCTTCCCAAAGGGGACGGGTGCCAGCTCAGCGTCCCCATCTGACGGGGCCTAGGAGTCGAGCCTGCAGGTTGGAGAAGCCGTCCATACAAAGCCGGGGGCCGAAAGAGGCCCTCCAATGGCAGGCCGCGTTCGCCAATCGATCAGGGGAGAGTGAGCGTGGAAGACCCGCCTGGTCCATGACTCGTCATTTCTCCAAACCGGCTCTTCGAAAGCCACTCTCCTACTATCCTGCTGAAATAGACAGGGGCCAACAAAAACCAAAATCCCTCCATGGTATTACGTAGCTAGGGGCTACCCCTCCTGTGACCTATACTCTCCACGGCACACTTTGAAAAATTTTCGACCGTCCGGGCCCCTGGTGAGGTAGCGGGTATCCGGGGGGCCCCCTGGTACGGCAGCCGGCCCTTCGAGACACACTCTCCTACTAACCTGCTGACATAGACATGGGCCCAGAATAACCAAAATCCCTCCATGGTCTTACGTGGCTAGGGGCTACCCCTCCTGCGGCCTATACCCTCCACGGCATACTTTGAAATTTTTCGACGATCCGGGTCCCTGGTTAGGTGACAGACTTTTTTTAAACTTGCTTTTTTGGCTTTATTTCAAAATTTTTCAAGGTTTTCTTTCCATTATCTAGTGCTTTAATGTGTTTTCTTAATTTCAGAAGGTTTACTTTGTTTTTATTCCCTTTTTAAATAGTTTTTATTAATTTTTAACTCATCCAGGTCTTCCAGCATCTTGTATCCGCCCAAGAGGCCTCCTCCTCGAATCGGCTGGTCAGAGGCTCCCCTTGACATCCAGGTCTCTGGTTCTGCTTTAAAACATCCTATTTCCTTCAGGGTCCGAGGTTATTTACCCACAAATCACACCCCGTGGGGCCACCTGCAAAAGCTCTAGCTCCCTGGAGGTTCTTGAAGCTGGTTCCGGGGGGTCTCTACCACTCATGCTCTGACCGGCAGCAGCCCTAGCTCCCTGCAGCTGGAGGATTAGCTGCTCCAGGGGCTCTCTTCCTCTCACGCTCTGCCCGCCTGAGAGGCCTCCTCCTCGTGCAGGCTGCCGGGGAAGCCCCCTTGACCTCCAGGAATCATGTTCTGTGTTAAAAAGGCACATTTCCCCCATGCTCTGAGGTTATTCATCCACAAAGCACGCCCCCTGAGACCGCCTTCAAAAGCCCTAGCTCCCTGAAGCTTGTGGAATACTGGTTCCAGGGGGTCTCTCCCACTCATGCTCTGCCCGCCTGAGAGGCCTCCTCCTCGGGCAGGGTGTTTAAGGGTGGGTCCCCGGGCCCCCCTGGTGCTGGCTGTTTCCCAGGGAGGTGTGTTGGTGGTCTGCCTATCTGGGGGAGGAGGCCCCTTGGGCGGACAGGAGGTGCATGGGAGAGACCCCTTGGAACCGGCTCCAGGAAGGGATGGGGAGGTAGGGCTTTTGCAGATGGGCTCAGGGGGTGTGCTTTGTGGGTAAACAACCTCCAACCCTGGATGGAATATGTTTATTTTTATTTTTTATCTTTTTTAATCAAAGAGCACCAGGATAATAAAAGCGAACACATTCTGCCGGCAGATTTCTGCATTTTAAGTTAATTTATGCGTCAATAAACAGTTTGTCAGAGGAGTGATCACAGCGCTCTGTGTCATCAGCGATGTGTCTGTCTCACGGCCAGCTTCCAGGCTTGATTAATACTTTGTAATAAAAACATGAATAAAGCACAAATATACTCAGTTTTGCTCCCGCTCTATTTTTAAATACGCAATAGAGGTATTTAAACGTAGTAGAGGACATGCACCTGTATTTAAAACCCGCACCCTATAGTCCAATACGCCCAATGTGTGTTCTAAATACACTGATGGCACACATAACTGACGCTGCGCCTTTTAGTACGGTGCGCCTTATAGTCGTGAAAATACGGTAGTTTTTTAAAGAACAAACATGAGCGATGTAAACATTATATTCTGTTATTCTGTTATGTTGCAGGTGGTTAAAGTTTGAAGAAGATGTGGAGGATGGTGGAGAGAGGTGGAGCAAGCCTTATGTGGCTACACTCTCCCTTCACAGCTTGTTTGAGCTCCGGAGCTGCATCATCAACGGCAGCGTTCTGCTGGACATGCGGGCCGACTCCATTGAGGAAATAGCAGGTGAGAAACTTATTTGTCTGTGTAAGTCAGTATCAGAATGCTGTATAAACAATCTAAGTTGTAAAGCTTAAGCTAAACATTTATTTATGAAAGAATTGCAAGAAGTCTGTTAAAGTGAAAATGGTTAACAACAGTTCTGACATACCTTTCTCGCACATTTCTTTCATAAAAAATAGGTATTATTTACATAAACCTTTTTTGTCTCAGGCAAGGTCCAATTTTACTGCATTTTATAAATTCATAAATCATCTAGGTCATTTTAAATTATGTAAATATTCTCCAGTGTTCATACATGCAGTGAGATACAGTGAAGTCCTTACATCACCCAAGTTCTGAACTGCTAAAAACTGTAAACAAGAGATATATATAACCCTACTTTCACATAGGTTCATTTCTTAGTTAAATGTGACTGAAGGTATAAAACAATGTTAATTCTTTATATAATTATACTGAAATAAAAATTTAAAGTTTGTTTTTTTACCATAAACTAGTACATTCAACAGGACATCAAAATCCGTTGAACAGAAAATCAACTTTGAAGTTTTGTATAATTGGACATTTCTTTAACCAATGTTTGTTTATAAAGGTAAAAAACTGAACTGCTTGATGTCCATTGCTCATTACCTAAACATTTTATTGAATTGAAAACACACGTATGAACTGCCTACCTGTTATCCTATTTAATTAATTTAGTTTAAAAAGGTTAAGTAGCATATCACCCATGGCATTATGTAGCATTTGCAGCTTTTTGTTTGAATCTGTAACTTTTTCGCCTTTTATCCTTATTTACATAAACTCAGTTTTTTTGTACAGAAATTTTCAGAGCAGCTGTTCTGGTTAACACATATTACACTTTTTAGATCACAAAAAAGGAAACATGATTTATGACTGAAAAGCAATATTTTTAGTGCACTACAACATTGGTCCTACTCTTTGATAAAGTTCTGTTTAAACAAGTCATAATAAAATCATCTTGCAAAAGGAGAAAAGAGGCCTCCGTTTTTGTTGTGGGTTTACGAAACAATTCAAATAACCAGATAGCTCTGCTAAGATAATCGAATGGGTTAAGCTGTAGCTTTATTACTGAGTCTATTTCTGCTGTAGCAGCAAAACCACAACTTATACTCTCTCCCTAGCAGAAATTGGCTGCAGTAACTATCAGTATAATCTATCATTTTCATTGTTAGGGAATTAGCCTTAAATTTAAAGCTAAGGGAGGAGGTACTCAATATCAATAACAGGTCCCCACAGAGGCAGATATGTGAATGAAACAGCCTGAATCGTCCACGCATGCAGATACAACACAGCAATTCTTCACAACTTTTTCTTTCTTGAAAAACTTTGTCGTAAAAATTTCTCAGGCTTCAGATTTTATTCATTCCGTAAGAGAAACCCCTGGGATTTCATGTCCTTCATGTTAAAATCGTAAAATTAAGAGTTGAGTTATCCAAGCATGTTACCGCCACTCATTAGAGCATTCATTTTAATGCCAAGGTAAAGCCTTAGGTTATTCATTATTCATGGGTTCATCCTTTGTATGCATATTTTAAACTCATTTTGAACAGATAAAACATTTTTTTAAATATATATTTTATTGCAATGCTTCAAGCTACATGTAGAAATGGGGGAACAAATAGAGTAACCACCAATCTTTGTTAAAACATGTGACATTTTTTGTTTAAATAATGTTTGCAGACATTATCCTGTAACCTTAAAACCTTCTTTATTTTCTCTGTGCAGGTTTTCCCTTATTATTTATTTATTTATTGTGTTGCACTGCTGTTCCTCTTATTAACAAGACTGTTAATAAGACAGTGACAGTGAACAGTGATACCTAGTGCCTTATTAACAAGGCACTAGGTATCACTTAGGCCAGCTCATTATCTTTATACAGGATCCATTCAGTTACAGCACAGAAATTTGAGCTAGAGAACCCCTTATTGGCTGTCAAAGCAAAAAATGAACCCAATTAATGTACACTCTTGTGCTGACTAAAGAACTAAGCTTGAAGGGAAAAGGAGACATAAAGAAAAGCTAATGAAATATGATCTTATATTTAGGCAGCACCAATTTGGCTTCTATGGCACGTTGTCTGTTCTCAGTCTAGAACTAGAGACAGACATATGAGAATTTTGGTTTAACATAGCAACTAGAGAAGCCTAATGAAACAAATGTGTCAAATTTCATGATTTTTGCAACCTCCAATGTTTAACTGTATAGAAGCTTGAACTTAGTTGTAATTCATTAGTAATCTCTGAAACTGTCAAATATAAATAAGATAATATAGAGAATACAGAGATATCTAATGCGGTCAAGTTAATTAAGAATCATCATCTCCTGTGGGAAACAGTCTCCAGCCAAAATTAAAATGTATCAATGAAGAGTCATATACGGTAGTCGCATATCAAGTGTGGAAGAGGGAGACATGAGAAATGTTAGTAGAGCTGTAGAAATGAGAATCAACAAACTGGCACTGTACCAACGGATTTAAAAGCACATATTTATTTCCACATAATGTATCGACAGCAGTATTGTAATGCATCAAGGGCGTAGGTTTGATTTCAACTTTGGTAGGGACACTATTCTTCGGTTTCATTGGTCCTTTGCAAAAATATGCATGCTCTTTTTTATGCTTAATGTGAGCTTCAGGGCTCATTTATTTTAAAGAGAACAGCAGCATTTCTTGCTACATTAATACAAATCTTATAAGCACTACATGCTCTAGATGCTGTTTATCAATATTTAAATCATAACTGGCTCTGATGAATGTGGAATTAGGACTTTTTCCACTTTGAAAAGGATTGCATTTAAATTTACCTGCTACTAAGACAGTGTCTGTTTAACCAAATATAGTCTATAATATGTGGATTTATCCTGTGTTTTCTTCTGAAGATATAGAATTGTGCAGAGGTAAACAGAGGTAAAACCCACTCTTATTTATTTTTTTTTTTTATCTAATATGCTCTCTCTGGATCATGCAAAATAATACATTCAAGGGACGGAAAATAAATGTATTGTATTTACATGTGCACTGGAACTAGAAGAGGAACTGACACTGAGCATTTAAAGTATTAATATTAGAAGTTGTACATCTGGGCTGTAGTTACTCTGTGTAGCTAATTTCATGTATTTCATCTATGGCTGAAACAATTAATCATATTAACAAATTATTTAAATAATCGTGAACTATCTAATTGATTAATCGTTAACTGGAATATAGGACCACTAAAAATGTGCCTTTAGCCGACAGAGCGACCCACTTAGAGCAGGAATTATACCAAGATTGTAAAAAATATGTAAACATTTTGCATTTAAGAAGTAAAAAAAATAGTTTTTGTCTGTCAATATTCTCCATCCAGAACTCCTCCAAAGGAAACGTTTAAACGTTTCTGTTTCACCTGGTTTCATTTCATAAAAGATCTTCTTTAAGGAGCCTTTGGCTATCTGATTATAAGATAAAATAAAAGAAATCCTAACGTTGTTAACTTACATTTCTCAAGTTCCACAAATCAAAAAACTCTCTCCTGCTTCTTTACAGAACTCCAATCAGAAGCTTTCGCCTGTTTTAGCGTAGATAATATTTTTTTTTATTTGGACTAGTTTCGTAGCCCAATATTAATTTATTTTAGCGTCTTTTTTTTCGCACTCCAAGCACCCGCGCGCACGCACATACAGACTAGAAAACACGCGGAAGGCGGAACTTAAGGCAGAATAATCAGAGTTAAACCGCGCAGCACAGTTGATACGCTGCTATGTGAAAGGGACAGGAAAGAGCAGGCAGCTGCAGCTACCAGGCAGAGAAGCTGCGAGAGGAAAAGAAGCGGCTGCTGTATAGTAAATTATAAACATGTTGTTTACATCCAATTATTGGTAGGGACAAATAGGTCCTTCCAAAATTTTGGTAGGGACATGTCCCTATGGTCCCTATTCAAACCTATGCCCATGTAATGCATAAATCGGAAAATACTCAGGTTTTAAATGAATAAAATGTTTCCTTCTTAAATAAACTTATTTAGCTTGCACATATTATAAAAGAATGAAGCTATAGTTGCATTAAATTGTGATAGGTATAAGCATACACATTTCGAGTGAATGAAAGCTTATTGACTTAACTTAATGTAGTCATCAGCAAATCATTTTATATCAACAGGGGACCTAAAAAAAGTATTTCTCTAGCTAAATGATTTTACTCTCACAAACAACAATGTATGTTGCCTTCATGGTCTGGCTGTCGACTCCCTGCTAAGGTTACTAGCAGTATTTCTTTTTTTTTTTACAGCAACAACAAAAAAAAACAGTTTCAGAGGAACAGAACTGAAACACAATCCCTGCATAAATATTTCTCGTTAGAAAAGCTGATTTTCATTCTCTGTTGTATTTACAGCTATAATTAATGATGTATGTAATCATCCATATATGGAAGTGCATTTTCATTTAACTCAAAAGACTCAATGAAAACGATTCTTAATCACAAAACAATAGAGACTCTAAGCAGACTAAACTTCCTGTCATATTAGGTCAGAATTATAGATATTTTCTTTTCAAAGAAAGCCTAGCTTCTTACTCTTGCTAGACACGGTAAACTGGACGATGATAATGAGTGTACCAATGTGTTGTAGACATGGTTCTGGACCACCAGGAGGCCTCGCACGAGCTGGATGACACTGTTAGAGTTAGGGTACGTGAGGCCCTGCTCAAGAGGCACCACCACCAAAATGAAAAGAAGAAAAACCTTATTCCAATCGTACGTTCCATCACTGAGGGAGCGCGCAAACAGTCAGAGCCTCAAGTAGTAGGTATGTTTCATAAAGCACAAAACACGCAAATAATCATTGGTGGGAATATCACTCTTAATTTGATAAGACCTATTAGCAACATGCAAACTACATTCTTTTGCATAGGTATTCATTTCCAATCGACCTTTTCACATTTTGTCACTTTGCAATCAAACATTTCTATAGATTTTATTGGAATTGTATGTGACAGACAAACATAAAAAAGATTATTTATTATAAAGTACAAGGGTATATCTGTTTTAGAAATGTGTATTTTGGATTGGTCTCCACCAAATGTACATTTTGGAAACAAATGTGCAAAGCCAATTTTTCAACTGTTTTGGAATTTGACTTGGCTATTCTACCACAAGGATATGCTTTGATCTTACAATTTATATTCAAATGTCTTTTAAATTTTAATCCCAAACTGTTCATTATTAGGTCTGACCAATTTCACCTCTAAGCTAAAGAATTGCATTTCCACAGCATGGTTTTTCTACCACCATGTCTCATAATAGAAGTATGATGGTCTTCCTCAACACATAATGTTTTGCATGTAGCCCATGTCTATGATAACACTTAAATGACTCTTTTTATGGCTATTTTAGACACTGGTAGATTGCCATTTAAGTTTTGTTTTTAAATAACTTCTGAAGCCAATTGATTACACTGGAATTCTTTTAGGGGTATCACATTAAAAGGCACTGAATGCAAATGCATGCCATGCGTTTTCATTCATGCCTTGTATTTTTTTAATATGGCAATGCTTTTTGTTAGTTTACCACGAACAAAAAATCTAAACAAAACACATTGGGGATTTTGTTAGTAAAATATAACATGAAAAACGTTCAATGAATGGGCATAAATTTGCAGTGCACTTCAGGATCATCTTTTAACAGATATACTGCTTCCAAGAATGAAATTAATCTGCAATGCTCTTGCAAAAAATGAAAGCATTTAAACTTTACTCTTTGTTTTTTAGAAAGACATTTTCTACTATTCAGCCACTTTCTTTCATGATTACATACACCCACATCTTCCCATCCCACAGGGTCGGCCCCGTCTCCCCAGCCTCCTCTGCCAACTGAACCAGCCAAGAACGGCGCTGGACAGGAAAACAGTCAAGTGGATCTCAGTAAGGTAAACAAACTGGCTGTGGGAAATATAGTTTGTTATTTAATGAATATTAATACATTTCTTTCCTCAGCTCAGTATTTGGATGAGATGCAAAATGGTTGAATCCATTCCTTCTATTGCAGAAGATGGACGTTTATGAGTTGTAATAGAATCTAATAAAACTTTAGTCTGCTGGTCACCTCCTACTTTTTCAACCAACAGGTTGATCTGCATTTTATGAAGAAGATTCCAGAAGGCGCAGAGGCTTCAAATGTGCTGGTTGGAGTTTTGGACTTCCTGGAGAGACCGATTGTTGCTTTTGTACGCCTTTCCCCTGCTGTCCTGCTCACCGGACTAACTGAGGTCCCTATCCCCACCAGGTAAAAAGCCACAGGTCTACCTGTCTCTGAGTGTAATTCATGTTAATTGAGCTTTAAAAGGACAGTCTATGAAGTATAGTTTATCTGTTGATTCAAATTAGATTCCTCTTCATTCTCCTTGGCCCTGATGGAAAGGCTCAGCAGTACCATGAAATTGGACGCTCGATGGCAACTATTATGACAGATGAGGTTGGAGACATTTCTGATCCACAGTGCCTTGTAACAGAGCCTCATCCAATATGAACTTCTTATCCCCCTTTCTGTAGTACATTATAAATACCTATTTACAGAACAGAGTTGCACAAGATTTAAAAACTTGATCTCTGAGCGAAGAGAGCTCAATAACAATGCATGGTTATTTATTTTTTCTTCCACATCACTTTCATAAATCTCTTTTTGTTGGTCTATTTTAAGAGGTATTAATACTTTTGCAAAACAAATGTAGCTTATACAGATAGAAATGTTCAAAATTACACAGTTTTTTCTTTGATGTTTTTCTAATTATTTAACTCCTCTCTGGATCAGATCTTCCACAATGTAGCATATAAAGCAAAAGACAGAAGTGACCTTCTAGCAGGAATAGACGAGTTCCTGGACCAGGTGACTGTCTTGCCCCCAGGGGAGTGGGACCCTTCCATCCGAATAGAGCCCCCAAAGAATGTACCCTCTCAGGTATGCATTAATAGTCATACATTTTACCTTTCAGCATTAAAGTCTAGCTATAGATACACCTATAATTGTTTAGATTACCTTTGCCTCATGTTGCGTTTTGCTTACTCTGGACCTGCAGGAGAAAAGGAAAACACCAGGGGTTCCTAATGGCACAGCCTTGCAGGTAGAGGAACCGCAACATGCTGAACACCATGGGCCAGAGCTGCAGAGGACAGGAAGGTAGGCAGCTGACCAGACAGGTTTACTACAGAGGCATGTTTGCTCAAAGTAGGAAGTTTACTCTGATGGAAGCTAGATGAATGTTTAACATAGACAAAACAGTTTGAACAGAACCAATACATGTAAAATATAATAATCTATATAGGATCATGACAGCAATCTGTAGATATAAAGACGGATTTCAAAAAGCAGAATATGACTTTCTGAAGAAAGTGAGGCTTTTCAAAAGTCTTTATATCCATTGAACACTTTCTCACAACAAAACCACAAGCTAAAATATATTTTTAAGGTGCTTTTCTACCCAATGTCATGTTAATACGAAGAAGAAAAAAAATCTATATTATTTTCCTGATATACAATATAACATAGCACTAAATGAAATGTGCCGAGCCCCTAAAGGGACACTGAGGATAGAAAAAGAAAATGTTCTCTTGTGCACCAGATACTTTCTCGCATGGGTATTTCAGACAACCATGTTCATTAAAATGGATTAACTAATTTGGCTATATTTTCAGTTTTGGCTACCATACAAAGACATCGCTGCATTGCTTGCAAGAGGTCACTATTATGTTGTGTCTGAAAGTCACCTGTATCCTAAATCCCAAATGTATCCTAAAGTCCTGTGGTCCATTTCGGCTTAAAGGATACATACACCTTGATGATGTTGTGATATTCATTCAAACACAACTGCAAATGACTATATCACCTGAATGGATATAGATGGATGTCTATAAATCGAGTAAAGGTAAAAAAAAAGAAGAGGAATGTCTGATAACTTGAATAACTTGATCTTGAACTTGATTTTTTTTTTCTTTTCAGCGTCCCTTTAGGCTAAGTAGAAATGCAGTGTTGTCGCCTTCTATACGTATTAAAATAGATTAATTATTATCTATCATGTTTCTTATAAAGCCATAATACATTTCCTATACTCATTTTTTTCTGTACAGTACATTCTATAAATGTAAGAAAACCCATCTGAATGTTCTTATTGTGCTCTGCGGTTAGGTTGTTTGGCGGCCTCATACTGGATATTAAGAGGAAAGCTCCTTTCTATGTGAGTGACTTTAAGGATGGCCTTAGCCTCCAGTGCGTTGCCTCTTTCCTCTTCCTCTACTGTGCCTGCATGTCTCCTGTCATCACCTTTGGCGGACTGCTTGGGGAGGCGACTGAAGGACGCATTGTAAGAGTAAACACATGGAGAGCACCATACTGTTTTTATAACATGTGAATGAATCAGAATGTAGCACAATGCTAAACCACTGAATGTCTTAGAGTGCCATAGAGTCCTTATTCGGTGCATCAATGACTGGGGTAGCCTACTCTCTGTTTGCTGGTCAGCCTCTCACCATTCTGGGCAGCACTGGGCCTGTACTGGTTTTTGAGAAAATACTCTTCAAATTCTGCAAGTATGTACAGAATCCAAACAACTACTCTACTCACTAATCAGGTTTGCCCTATCCTCCTATGATCTTAT